TCTCTTTGTCTCTCTCTGCCCCTTCCCTGCTCTCTTTCTCTCTCTCAAAAAAAAAAAATAATAATAATAATAACATAAAAAAAAATAAGCACCTTGTATACGTCAGGAACTGTGTGAGGCCTCAGGAGTTTACTATTTCATAACAATAAACACGGATTCTGGCCTTTTTAAAAATTCTTATTTATTTTTGAGAGAGAGAGCACGAGCAGGAGGAGGAGCAGAGACAGGGAGGCATAGAATCCAAAGCAGGCTCCAAGCTGGCAGGCAGCACAGAGCCTAATGTGGGGCTCGAACTCATGCAATGTGAGATCATGGCCTGGACTGCAGTCAGGTGCTTAACCAACTGAGCCACTCAGGTGCCCCTGGCCTTTTTTTTTTTTCTTTAAAGTAAATTCTGTTTTCTCATTTGGGAAAATATGAGTATTTTCCATGAGGAGACACAAACTCACTATGGCGATAAGTTGCATAAATGGAGCTGTAGCTCCATAGACGGGCTGACAAGCATGTCTGACAAGCTTATGTGTCACATCTCCGTCTTCATCCAGGAATAGCATCATACTGGTAGCTTCCATAAACCGCTTCAGCTTACCGCTGGCTAAAAGTCAGGCCGTTCTTGTGGGGGTTTTGGGGTAGTTTCTATTGTTGGTATTAAATGTAATGCTTAATACATGTATAACACCATCAAAAAGCATAATTTTAAATGACTCTTCATATGAATAAAATATGTTGTACTTGTGTGTACCTGAATACACTTCGAAGTGTATTCAAAGTGTATTCAAAGATTAAGCAGCTAAGTGCCAACTTTAAAAAAAAAGAATATATCATAGGATTAGTTTCTACATGGATACTCTCCTTTATAGTTAAACTACGCTTTTGTGTATATCAATTTTTTTCTTTAAATTTTTAAAAACGGAGGTATAGTTGACACACAGCGTTACGTTAGTTTAAGTGCAAAATACAGTGGTTCGACAGGTCTATTTGTTATGCTATGCTCACCACAAGTGCGGCCACCCACCACCTGTCACCATGCAATGCTGTTACAATACCATCGACTATATCCTCTATGCTGTCCCTTTTGTTCCCATGACTTACTCATTCCATAATGGAAGCCTGTATCTCCCACTCCCCTTCACCCATTTTGTCCATCTCCCTACTCTCCTCCCCTACGTATATCAACTTTTAAGAATAAGTCTATTGCAGGGGCGCCTGGGTGGCTCAGTCGGTTAAGCATCCAACTCTTGGCTTTGGCTCAGGTCGTGATCTCTCAGTTCGTGGGTTCAAGCCCCATGTCAGGCTCTGCACTGTTAGTGCAGAGCCTGCTTGGGATTCTCTGTCTCTCCCCCCACTTCTCTCTGCCCCTCCCCTGCTCGTGCTCTCTCTCTCTCTCAAAATAAATAAATAAACTTAAAAAAAAAGACTAAATCGATTGTATGAAAAACCATAAAGACAATTTTCCCACTTAAAATTTGGAAGTAAAATGACTATGTGGCAATAGAAGCTTCTGAGCAGTGGGTGTCTTTGGCCTGTGCACAAGCAATACACATCTCTAAGGACAGGGAGTGCATTTTCAAAACGTAGCAGAGGGCCTAGGCGTGGTAGGCGCTCAGGACGCATTTATTTAACGAAGGCAAAGGGAAGAAAGAACGGAGTGGACAGTGCGCCTCTGTGAGAAGCCAGCAGTTTATGCCCTACTCCAAGAGAGGCCGTTTTCATAGCCAATTCTGAAGGAATAAATAAATGGAATGGAATAAACAGAATAGAGAGCAGCTTTGAAGCTACACGGGGGTTGCGGCAGCCACGTTGAGCCCCAAACATTTTTAGAATAGTAAGTTCTGATGAGCTCTCCCTTAATTTCAGTAACCAGCGCTGTTGAGAGAATAACCGCATCCCGTTTCATGGTGAACACACTGAGAGGCTAAGCGACCCAGTTAAAGTCATAAGTGACTTCGGTAGTACCTAGAAGAGGTCCAGAGTCTTCCAAATCCCATCTCACCTTTCTACATATCATAGAGAGGCATGTAGACACCTCGGTCCTACTCTTCTCCCAGGAGGCCACACTGGCGTTCAGGAGGTGGGTACAGGTGCTCTCTCATACACATAGCTTCTTGTCCTTAACACTGATTCTGTGTTGTAGGTCCACTATTTTTAGTGTTGCGCCAGATCTGTCTGATGTATTGGTTATAACTGAAATTTCATTTTCAGTGTTGCATTTATATTGTCAAAGTTGCAGCGGACAGCCCCCATTTCACACTGCCCAGTTGAGAACTATTTTTGCCTTAACCGCTGACATAAATGCAATCCAACAGAGTGTAGCGAGGCATGGCATAAAGTGCCTTGATGTAAACTCATCACTCTTTCTTGAAGGGACCACTCCTTGATCACAAACATTGCCTCTTTGGTCTTCATGTATTAATCATTTGCTTCATTTTCTTGGGGCATTTAAGGATGAACGTAGTTTATGGATATTAACAGCATAAAAACTTCAATTCCCATTCTATAAACAGGGGCTGAAATTTTCAAAGCTGTTTTACCAAGCAGTTATTCATCTAGAGCCCGAGGAAAGGAGGGAATTAAACACATTTATAGTTCTGCTTTTCTTTTTGGTTTGGTTACCCAGACACCTTGGACCATGCAGGAATTCAGAAAGTTACTAAATTAAGAGATAATATTTCAGTGTTGTAAAATGGCTTATAGATGCATAGTGGGCAGATAGGAGGATAGTTTTAAAAGGAAATAAATGCAACTTTTGTTAGTGAAATGGATTATTGTGAAGACTTAATCACAATATAATAAAATGTAGGGAACCCATATGCATTTATATGCTCATTTAATTATTCATGGTGGGGGTGAGACACATTTATTGGGCACTTATTACTTGCCAGGGACTGCACTAGGTAAAAATATGTTATATACCTATATACTAGGTATATAAATATGTTATATACCTACATACTAGGTATATAAATATGTTATTTTACATAATACTTCAAACAATTCTATATTTTGTAAAAGGCGAAAGATTTATGCGATCTGAAGAGAAACCAGAGTATAAACAATCCTATATTTTGTAGATATCCTTATTTCCATTTGCCAGATGAAGAAACATAAGACTGGAGACAGTTTAAGTAAATGCCCCATTCACAGCGCTCCTTAAGTGCTAGAGGTGTGAGTGGCTCTGTATGTTTGTAACATTACAGGGAAACTTGGCAATGACACTTAAAACATTTTTCACACCTGTAAGCCATTTGACAATACAATTTCCTAATGTCTTTTTTAAATGCTGCATCAAAAAAAAAATCACTTTTACTTACAACTGATGGTTATTCCAAGTTCCACATTATGCTTCTTAGGGAGCTTTACATGAAACGTTCCACTACTTGGGATGACAGACTCTGTAATTTCAAAACAAAGAAGAGTACGTTTGTAGGTGACCAGGAAGAATGGAGCACCAATCAATGGAAATGCATCAGGGATTCTTGTATCATAATCGTCTGAAGTTCAACTTGTAGGAATTGAAGTAAATGAATGCCTATAAAATCCTGATAAATTGCATTCCTGGTTAAGAGTGGATGTCCTGCCCGGAGGCAACTGTGTGCATTTCACAGCAACAGCTGAGTTGAGTATTTCTTAAGTGTTATTCAGGCAACATTTGCATCGAATTTGCCTGGAATGCAAGTTCCAAACAGATTCCTGAATCATCCGGGATCTATGGAATCAGAGTTTCTGAAGATAAAGCCTAGACGTCTACATTTTAAACATATTCTCCAGGTGATTTTTTTTTTAACAGATTTTTTAAAATGTTTATTTAAAAAATTTTTTTTAATGTTTATTTATTTTTTGAGAG